ATTTTTGAAAAATAGGGACCAAGCGTGAATCATTGGAAAGGACTTTCGATTCTCTATCGATTGGTATTCCGCTTTTAGAAATCGAAATAATCTTAACGTTAAAGATAAATTGATTCGAAATAATCTCTGAAGTCCTTACCATTCATCAAGATTGAAGTTCTAATTGCCAAGAGATTTAGACACTCAAAGTATGTCTTGTGAATTGTAGCAAAATGTTGAAAAATTTTTTCATTCTGAATTCATCGTTTATGCGGTTCTCAATTGTGATGATCCCAAATTTTCGAACTCCATTTCAGAAAAAAATAATGTGCAAATCGGTTTGCCGATATGTTCAACCAATTGTAGGTATTATCAAAGACATCTTTCTGGGATGATTATTCGCGATCTGCAATGTATAGTTCGTTTAGTATAAGAAAATTGTGTATGAGACGGACGTGAATCGCAAAGTAACCGGCGAATAATAAAAATATACAAGTACAAGAATTTTCGATCATGGCATTAAATTTTTCCTGCTTGAGACAGTTTCCGAATGTACTTTTTTCAAATGGTTTCTTCTTGTCGCTTGAGTGAAGGCAATCCAGGATTATTTATGCGGCATGCACGCAAAACTCTCAAGAGTTGGGCGTGTGGATTGATATTTCTGAAGATTACCTCATGTTCTGATGATTCCGGGTTTATTAGTTGACCTGACGTTTCGTCTACAACTGCGGCATACATCAAAGGTGATGCGGTAACGGTCGAAGCTATTTACCTTCCTGCGATGCGCAAGCTGAAAACGGTCCTGGTGTCTTTGTATTTATAATGGGACTGAATGCCCGACGTCTGACTGCTCTTGTACCGGTACTTCTCAGTACAAAGATTCTTCCAATAATTAAAATAGGGTCAGACCAATCAGATACAAGCCAAGTTTCATGAAATATAATTCAAACTCTTTTCTCATTGAAAAAAACATGTTATACTTACATTCAGATAGTTGGAAGTTTTGCAATGGTTTTAGGGTCAAAACTTATTTTCACCACAAATAATTCGAGACTTTTTAATATTTTGCATTTGACTTTTCAATGTGATGTTTATTATTCATTCCATTCTGATTCAGTTATAACAGTTTTAGCCTATTTGATTATAAATGATAAAATATATTTTTAGGCACATACATAATGGTCCCTACTTATCTATGTTTTGAAAGAATTAATTATGATTTATTGTTTCCATGTATATATGATGGCATATTTTTCAAACATAAGTTTTGCCATGGTGAATATTTTACTCTCTTTGAAATAATTTCAGAAAAATTTTCATCATTGACTACAGAACAAAATTCTCATACTTCAACATAGAATAATGAATATAGAGGGTGCTGATACCGATGTGTCTCAGAACTCTGAGCTATATCGAAAAAACTTTGAGAGTATGCAAAATGAACTGGCTGTTTTCGAAAATGAACAGTTTGTGATATGTATTATGGAGCAGAAAACATAATGTCCAATGTTCGATATATAATGTTTGCTATCCAATTTTTATTTTGAAACTGTCAAGATATATTCTTCACCCAAAACTATAGTGGTATGTCTCAAACATCTCTGTGGAATTGAAACAGAATACAATTTTATTCATGTGCTGACACCATTCAGATATTCTTTTCATTATTTGATAATTCTTTGTGAGTATATTTATATGTATGTACCATCAGTTATTCAGATGATAAATAATGTTGGGCCGTTTATAAAATCCTAGAAATCACCATAATAGACATCACGAACACCAAATGTTATGCTATTTGATTTGTAAGCTGTCTCGGTTTCACACAACTTCACTTTTGAGAGAACAGTTTAATTATCATTACGGAAATTTCATATATTGAGTATATACGTAATTCTGATAACATAGTAATGCACCTGAATTTACTATATTTCGCAGATTTTATATGCATTTCGTTCATCACTTGCATGCGGTGTTTTATTTGTGTGCACCAAATTGTCATCCTCAAACTTATTGATTTTGTGCATTCGAAAGAGCTTTTCAGAGTTTGACTATAACGGTTGTTAACCTACTTTTTGCTTCGGTTTGTCTCATTGATGGAAATTAACAACACACATGTTAGCCGAGGTTAGAAATCAGCATTTTTTTGCCATCCTCTCAGGTATTTGTAGAAACTATAGGAAAAACTTTACATCTTATGCACCGGAAAATAAAAATGCAACGGTGAGAGATCAGATGTTATGGCTGGCTACTCCACTAGAGAATTTTGTTGCTCTAATGCCTGTCCAGAAACGATTCCAAACAAATATCAATATATGGGGTTTGTACCATCAACATGTATTATTGATTGAATAGTGACCTCCAACATGGATATGTTATATGTTCGAATATGTTCAGAATATGTTTTTTCCGTTAACCAGCTATCGCACCCCTAGGAAAGACAACCCTCAGAAATCGAAACTTGTGCGAGCTGAGAACCAACGAGGTCTAACCTTTGAACGTGTCATTCCTAACATATATACCGAGTGACACGGTGACATTTAGTTTTCTATGAAGAAAGACATTTTGAAATTCGGAATAATGGTATAGTTCATCAAAGCCGATAGTTTCAATGAAAATAGCCACAAAATGGTTTCGTTATTGAAGAAAGATTTCATACCGATAAAATTGTGACAAAATACAGGGTTCTATTTTAAATTCTTGACTAGGATTCATTTCCGAACAACCCTGTGAGCCATCATAAAAATATATCGACTTTGATGAACCCTAACTTTATTTCATATTTCAGATTCCCTACTTCATGAACAATTCAATCCATGTACGATGATTTTGTCAGCCGGTATACGAAAACTTATGATAGAAACTGAGAAAAGCGGGAAATATGTAATTCCATATAACGTGGAAGAACTGAGACAGATAAGATATGCGTAATGACTGAAATTTCAGGAAATGATGATAGTTCTCTAGAAAACTAAATTATATTCCAGCAGTATGGTACGACCTCACATTTCGTTGATAATGTGGAGCAGTTTTTAAATTATCGTTTCAATAAACCCGGAATCAGCAAAGTGGCATAGTGAAGTGGGATAGCCACCTTAATCATTTCATTGCAATAATTCACAAATGACAACAAGTTTCCTCAATTTTTATAAATATCAATCAAACATTCATATAGACAAAAATTTTTATCGATCATTTGTCCCTCGATTTATCCTTCAAAATTTTATTTCCTGATGTTTGGTTTGGTACCCGCTCTTGCTAGATTCCTGCAGATTGTAAAATATCATAATACCAAAAAAAACAGCCAAAAAAATTTGTCCCAACAAAAAAGTCTTTACACATATATGTGTAATACCAACTAAAAATAATTAAATACAAAATTCCTGTTGAAGAATTAATGAAATGCGGTTGAACAACAGTGACAGGCACTTTTGATCAGATCCAAATCCTATCTCATACAACCGAATAACACTATACGTGACATATTTCCATAATGCCGATATAAAGTGGCGCCTGAAAATTATTCGAGCACGACAACTATTTAGCCAACAAAAAAGGATTCTCTATGGGTGTCATTTTTCCTGATTCATAACAATATGTATCGATTCCGTTGAACGCGACGGGCTTCAATACTTTGGCTGATGCATTGGCGTCGTTGGAAGTTTCATAGAAAAACATTAGACAGGCGAAATGATATCCATTTTCCTTGTCTAATAGGCTAATAGTTGATTATACGTTGACATCATTGTGTAGGTATTCTGTTGGAATCGATAGGGATAGCTTCATATTTATGTATTACATATAATTAGTTTGATGAAATAGATGAGTCAAAAATAATTAAATACAATATCTGCAGAAATTTTACTACGAATAGATTTATAGATGAAAAGTTTCATTCAGTGAACTGCTTATTGCATTTGATTCACCATTCCAAGATTTGAATAATCAAATAAAATGACTACACTTTTGAAATCAATTTATAGTACTTAGAAAACGTACTCAAATTCTATGAATTCTTGAACAAAACTTCCCATATGAAACGTTCCAAGTGTTTGAAACCATTTTTTTTTGGATCTCATTTGGCAACTTGTAGGATTTTAAAAAATATTTCGAGGCTCTTTCTGTAACTCTGATAATTCAAACTTTCGCTTCCTGTAGCAAAATTGTTTGTCTCTTGCAGTGGCGTACGGAAATTTTACTAATTATACCAATATAATTATATGATAAAATATATAGAATCACAACCTCACAACAATGTTTTCCTTTTAATGCAATAATATTCCTGAGAATGTATTGTCTACTGTTATGGAATTTTAGTGAAGTGTAGTCTTTAAAAATGGTGGCAGAATTGTGTACAATGAGCTCGTATGTTTTTCCTCATTTTTATCACTGATGAAACACTTCACAAATAACGAATTGAATTGAATGGAATCTGTTATATTTCTGAACATTTCTGACGATTCCTGTTTTACAGATCATAAGCTGGAAAAGTTGGACATCATTGAAATTGATCGAAAATTACTACTTTTACCGTGTCGTGATGTTTATTGAAATTTTTCTTTCATAATAGAACAACCAAGATGTACATTGAAAAATAGTACTCGGACCTTTCTTAGAAAATTATATCTGTTTAAAAGAAATCTGTTTTTCCGTTAACCAGCTGTCGCACCCCTATGAACGACAACCTTCAGAAGTCAAAATTTGTGCGAACTGAGAATTAACGAGGTCTCACCTTTCAACGAGTGATTCCTATCACGGGTTGGACGATAGCAAGTGAAAATCGATCGTTCAGCTTGGGGCTTGAACCACCGACCAACTCGGCAGTTAATTCGAGTGAGTAAACAAAGCACTCACGTCGAACCGACCGACCATATGAGTGATGCGTTTAAGGATCTGCTAATAATTAAAGATAGAACCAAAACTTCTGGAGTAGAATGAATCCAAAACAAGCAAAGATATGTTTCCATATTGAACAGTATATCATTGATTTCATTAGTATTTACTGTTACCATTCTGCATACTCAAACTGCAGTCACTATGAGCAGATGATAACCCTAAAATTATTTTTCAAAAAATATATTTTGGAAGAAGAAACTAGAGTAGAATTGAAAACGGCTATGTGTGTGTTTTTTAAAACAGACTACTTTCTACTGAAACAAGACATTCGAATATCATTCTGCAAATGTGTTATGTTCATGAGCACTGATAAGTTTGAAAAACTTACCTCGTACGCATTTCCGGTTCCGAAGTAAATTGGGATGAATGCAAGCCATATAATACATGTAGTGTACATGGTGAAACCGATGAACTTGGATTCATTGAAGTTCTCTGGTATTTTGCGTGTTTTGACAGCGTATATAGTGCACGTAGTAATGAGGACCATATTGTACAGCTGACTGAATAGGAACGACATATCTTGTATTTTGCATTTGAGGATAACCTAGAAATGAAATAAACAAAAGTGTAGTGAATGCGTTGTGATCCTTTATGTCGATTCTCACAGCTATTATTATGAATATAAATTATGAAAAAGAGTCCCCCACCACCTGTCTGTCTGTCCGAACGTGATATACTGAAAAACTATCATATGGTTTTAGAAATTATTGCAGTGATTCAAGAGAAGGTTTATATGTTTAATTCATTCATGTTTTGTGTGAATTGGTTGGAATATATCGATGTTATCCGAGAGTTGTCAGATGCCGCCCTGTGATCTTTTATCGAAAACTTTGCTGAATCGTTCTGAGATATAACAGAACGATTCACTACATATTGATCTCCTTATAGGTCTACAAAATATTTGAGGAAGAAGACCGGTCCTAATATTTGAAGACACACGTGTGATTGAATCATATCTATCATAAATGAGAATGTCACGTGATGCAATCATTTGCGGTATAATACGGCGATATTGTATGATTTTGCCAAACAATATCGATTTGCACAAACATTTCCAAACTTGATCATGTTCAGTTATGGATAGACTGTATAATTTCGGGTAACTTAGGTTTCATGAAGTTTTTTCTGGAAGTTAATACAATTTTTCAACAAATGAACCCATATTTTCAGATATTTTTTTGCGAATAACTCAAAAAATTAGTATTTTATCAGAAAAATCATGTTCAGTAAGGTTGATTCCCACAAATGCATTTTTTTGGGAAACTCATGATAGTGCAAGTTTTGACAAAAATAATGTTGGTCCCTATTTTTCGGTGACAAAAAGTGTGAAAATCAACCCTCATCACCAACCCAATTGAAGAAAATCGTTATCACTCAACAATTCACTTTATTTATATGTTATACGCTCTAGCTCTAGAAGTTTAACTAGTTCAGAGTGCTTAATTTATGAAAAAATGAGCTTGAAGTGATATTTCACGAATCACAAAAAAAAATTTGAGTTAGTTTTTGCAAAATTACGATAGACATTTTTTTTGTAAAACTAAGCTCTTCAAACCGGTTGAACTTCTATGGAATATCACAAGTACATACATGAATTGAATTTTGAAGTGGTAAGGAATATTTTTAATTTGGATGGTTATTAGGGGGTGATTTCCACATTTTTGTTTCCGAATAAATATAAACTAGAATTATTTCCGGCATATCTCGCCCAGTTTTGATGCTGAGGACTTTCATAAAAAACGAAACAGAAAGTTTTTATCGACCTTTTTTGGGTATTTCCACAATCTGAAAATTATAACAGAGAATTTTATACGAGTTATGAAACGAAAAACATTTTAGTTCACCCCGATGAGTTACTGCGTAAAATGAAAGTATTTTCACAAAGAAGAATGTTCTATTTATCAGATCATTTGCAGTGGAACCACAAAACGAAGTATATGGACCCGTCTTTCCGAACATATGAGAAACTGTCGCCTCGGATAAGGATAATTTCAATAAAAAAAGAGACAATAAATATTAATAAAAGCTGACTACACGAACACGAACAGGTAATACAATTAGGAACGATATGATTAAAGCACCCAGTACTGAAATAGTAGTTATTACGTTGAACCAAAAACCGAGCACTAGCTCAGGTATTGCGACCGTTGCCACATCGCCTTTGAAAATGTCTCAGCAGTAGACGAAACGTCAGGCATTGAAACCTGCAGACCACGGCCAGAAAACCTGGAAAATAGCATTCTAAATACATTTTCAGTGAGACTTTTTCAATTTTTTCAGCTTTCCAAGTTCTCCATATTTTTATGATTGATTTTTTTCATTTCTCACACTCTGCAGATAAACCGTACAGCAACAGCAGCCATCACAGTTCACGAAAACTCCTTGATAAAATATATTTTTTTACTTTTTGTAAAATGGGGAATTTCACGAATACATTGAACAAGATTGATCAAACGCTTTTGGAAATTAAAAATGATTATTCCGATCCATTATCAGAATCTATATTGAAATACATAGCATCAGATATCCGAAAATGTATTTGAAAAAACTTAATTCTCAATCAGAATGAAACATAAAATTCAAGCTGATATGAGGGAACTGACACGAATGCGTTTTTTCATCAATCAATGAATCGAGATTATGTTAGTATAATTAAAGTAAATCCAATTCTCAATTCAGAAACTTGAACTGGATCCGTGTTGAATTTAAGTCACAAAGACAATAATGATTTTCTGAGTGATTCATTAGGAATGATAAAGAGCAAAATTTCAAAGCAAATGTCCATGAACAAATGAAATACTACATTATATGGGGGTTTTGTGGAGAAATCAAACGAATCAGTACACTCAATGTCTTCGTGGATGCAGGGATGGATGTAGGGAAGTGGTTGAAAATTAATATTGTCGATATAACTGTGAATAAACTGAGCGAATTTCAGGAAAAATGCGAGTGGGCTTTAAATAGAATTATTTTATTATAGGCAGCCATGAATGAAAATGAGGTTGGAAATTGCTCATCCTTCCATATTGGATTATGAATAGACAGGCGTGCGTGAATCCTGATGATTCAGATTCGTCATGTTTCTATTGGATTATAGTTATTGCTCTTTCCCAGCTGAAAAAAGAGTTAGACAAACTTCCTCATACCCTCATTTCAGTACAGTACTGAAAACAGACGTCTTAGAATCTCCCATGCCTTTACACATTTCTAAATATGAAAAATCGAATGATATTTTCATCAATGTTCATGTTCCGCACGAATAATCAAAAATGAATCGTAACATCATGTTAAATTGCTGTTCAATCGAAATAAATAGTTTTCAAAAGTCAATTACTATGATGTACCACTGATTGATGATGAAGAGAGCGGGATGAAATTTTATTACTGTTGATCAAAATGCATTTCCAAATTATTGTCACAGTATGTTATAGGTACCTTAATTACTTTTCAAGTCAGCAAAAATTGGATAAGCGTAGTATTACGAAATTTCATTCATAAAATATGATTTTGTACAGTTTCGAAACGATGTATATATATACGAGAATTCCCATTTAAAATCACGCCAATTTCAAATCCCAGTTGGGAAAATGTGATGTTCAAATTACGCTGACAACATCAAAATATCAGCTTCATTAGGCTCAAAGTGCCGGCGTGTATTTATACTGCTCATAGGATGACATCATTTCATCGAAACCATCGAGGTTCGAATTGTATGGATTTGTTCGTTGTTGAAATGGTCGAAATTACCAATGTTGTATTACCCGGAATTTGGAGTATCATACCCAGGATGGTGTCTCCAAATAGTCTAGGTGTTGCTACATGCTATATTTGCGGGAAATCCTTCGTCAAAAGAGACGTTATCATACGCGGTCATTGTCATTTCACAGGTTAGTTTAGGAGATACACATATCATGCATGCAACCTGAACTTCACAAAGTTTTTCTGTTTATTTGTAGGGAGGTTTCGATAGACTCGTGTCAACTTCAGAGTCGGAAAACTTTGAGAAATATTCTCCGGCGTGATATTTTACGCTACCGGGCTACACGTGGGATTGTATGCTCAAATATACCGGTTGCAAATCACGCGTTTTGAAGGATGTAGATATGCTAATGTCTGTAGAGGACACATGAAAACATCACAAAATATGAAGTTACAAAACTATTGAAGTACCTACTTCATCTAGACGTAAATTACTAGTACGGAAAAGACATGTGCGAGGCCCTATCATATGCCGATTTTACTTGGGTGGGCGATACCAACACTGACGTGACACAAATATCTGACGACAATCTTCCAAGTCGATTCAAAATATCCCGACACACTACACGACCTACATAAAAACTTTTCCCTATACCCGGAAAATCGCGTCCCACCCAACTCAAAAGTGCCAGAACTGACGACAATAAACAAAAAAAGGAACTTTTACGCTGCATTACCGGAATTTGAAACAGGGTCTTGAACACGGACTTAGATTGACAAAGATACACAAAGTATTAAAATCCAAAGCATAAGGTCTGCGACCTTATATCGAGTTGAATATTCGCGTCAGGTCTGCAGCTACGAATTTTTCGTGAAGCATTATTGAACATCGACAATCTGAAACCATATTGTAATCATGACTCATAATGTATGTGAATGATATTTTATGAAATCATTCAAATATTAATAAAGGCTTTGAATAATACATAACATGGAAACCTCTAATCAAGCTAAAAACGACCAACTCCCGCCAAACAGTCATCTCCCGCTAAAACCAATGAAGCGGAGAGAGGGGATAGTTAGATCTCGAATTAATAAGTCTAGTTATCACCGGAAGACGATTGTGGATACTAACAATCGAAACTTCGTGACGTAACTTGGTTTGGCATCTTTTAATTATGATTTTTCATTTTTTGTTGATGATATTTTTAATTTTTCAGTTTTCAGCTTTTATTGATATTTGAATTTTTTATTTTTTGGTTGTTGCTTGTGTGTTATTTCTTTGTAATTTCAATTTTTTGTTTAATGAAAATTGTTATTTTCGGTTAATCTTTTTAATTTTTTTTCAGGGATTTCAAATCAATTTATATTAGACAATGGAAGTCCGAACTGATGAAATACACCACGAAACATTGACAAACGTATGATGTTCTACTACCAGTGCGAAACCGGTTTGGGTCCATAGTTATGAATATCAACATCAAACTCAATTTGATGAGGCTGAGGCTTTCGCGGCCAATGTTTCCAGTATCATTATTTTTCGGGTTTGAAGGCCGTCGATTTTTGACATTTCTTCCTGATATTTCGCTAGTTGGCTAGCGGCTAGCTGTGTGCTAATACCTGTACCTGGATTAGGTAAACTACGTCAAGCCACTTCATGTTCACTCAGGTAGTTTGATGTGCTGATACCTGTACCTGTCTTAGGTGAATTGTCAATATCATTCGTCGAGTTTTTCCTATCTGCCGTCATGCTGTTTGATATTCCATATTCGGTTGAAGTTCACAGCTTCTTATTTTCTGTTGAAATTATCTGCGTGTTTGAGGAGCTCTATTGCGTCCCGTACC